CTCCTTCGTGCCTTTGGTGGCAGCGCGAGCGGGACCACGTCCCCTCCTTCCCGCAGGCGGTAAATGCCACTGGGATGTAACACTGGGCTGGTTTGCGGGGGGAAAAGTCATTTTATGGAGGAAAAGCACCCCAAAAAGCCTCAACTCTGCAGCAGCCCTGCTTTCACCCAGGAAATCTCCCTCATCTGGGTGTTCCCCCCCCCCAAAAAAAAAAAAAATCAAAAAACCTCTACTTTGAGCTTGGAGGGGATTTTCCCACCTTGCTCCGAGTTGGAAACAAAAACCCTCCACAAAATAACCCTAAAGGGCTGATTTCTGCCCTCCCAGTGCTCCCCCCTCCCCTTTCTCGCTCCCTCCGTCCCGCTGCCGCCCGAAGCGCTCACCTCTCCTACACGCATCCCGTTTGATTTGGTAACTTCCCGTCATGAGAGCTGAAGGGAGAGGAAAGTGCTTTATATTGCCTATAATCTGCTCCTTAAGCCTTGGGAGTTTAACAAGCCGGAGTGGATAAAGGAGGAAGTTTTGGGGTTTGGGTTGGTTTTTTTTTTTGTACCGTGCAGTGAAGGTTTGGTTTAGCCAGGAAGAAATGGGGGAAAAAATGGAAACGATTCCAGGTGAGTTATTTCCATTGCTCTTTGGTGTCTGCGGTCGGGGGAGTTGGAGGGAAAGAAAAACTCCTTTTTTTTTCTTTTGGTTTTGCTTTTGCCTTGTCAAAGCAGCTTGGGAGCCTGCGCGGGGTTGGGTTGAGCTCACGGCACCGAGCTCCAAAGCTCACCCCAAAAATATGATGGGAGGGGGAGCTGTACCAGCTTCCCAGCAGCAGGGAAGCAGGTAAGATGATGTTTGGAAGGAGAAAAGTCTCCCGGACCTGGGGGGTTCCTTGAACAGGAATGAAGCATCTAATCCCATGGGACATGCACCCCGTCTCTGCTCTTTTTTGGGGGAGAGGGAACCCTTCTGAGCTACGAAACCCCAGGGAACGGCTGCTGCGTGTTCAGAAGGACCACGACAGCGGATGGTTACTGTGCCAGAGCCTTAAGGCTTAGTCCCGCTGGATTGCAAACCCCAGGCAGCACCGTGTTCCCCTGTCCCCCCTTTTATCACCTTTTTTTTTTTATTGTGCCTAAAGCCAGAGCGGGATTTTTAGTCTGGAAAGGCATCGCTAGGCGAGGTTTCACTGCTGGATCAACGTTGGGGTGTGAAGGGCTCCGTGCACCTCAAATTAAAGGAGGTATAAATCAGTGCGACTGGCTTGTCCTGTGCAATTACCCATGGAAATGTAGGCTCTGGTGTACGTAAAATTATCCCACGTTATCACCAGCGTTAATGCTGAGCTCGTTCTGCGGCTGTGGGCTCGATTCGGAGCCAGCGCGGCCGAAATCCCGCCGGA